AATAGCAATTATTTAAAAAAAAAAATGAATGATGCCGGGATTGAACCCGGGCCGCCGGCGTGCCAGTCGAGCACGTTACCGCTAGGACAACGCGCAGATTTAAAAATATAAATTCATTAGTGGTATATATTCAATACATTGAATAATTTATTCCATTGAAATTGCACAAAATGTGGCGTCCCCTTTTGCTCGTTCTACAGGCGGTTCAATTTAAGTTAAATAAACGAAAAACAAGGAGCATTCATGTCGCAAAAAATAAAATTCACCCCCTCGACTTGATGGACACCCCTCTCTTGGGGTGCAGTACTACGATGCCGCTGGGGTCACTCACACCCCCAGAATCTTCTCTGGTATCCGCCAATGAGAAGGCCGATTGTCGCCATCTGCATTTTCCCCGTAGAATCCTCTAGAATTCCCTAGATTTTTAAGTAAAAATTTATTTCAATGGAATTACGAATGATGACCACAAAATTGTACGATAAATTGCAATTTGAAATTTTTTTCTGCACTTTTTTAAATAAAGGGTCACTTGGGAGAGTAGGTGAAACTTGACAATTGATTGAATGAAGCCAAAACTATTAGAAATTTTGAATTATTCAACAGGTCGTAAACAATTCAGACAAGCCAAGGATTTTAAGGAATAATTGTGAGGATGAATGGCCCAAGACGCTGGAGTAAAGCGATCAAGAGGAAGAGAAAATCGCAGGACGACGTGGTAGCTTCCAAGGAAGATGAAGTTCCAGATCCTCCAGAGGATCCTGACAACAACAACAAGGATGACCCAACACTGGACGTCTACGAGGCCCAGATGAATTCCGATCTCTCATTATACGGTTTTCACCTGTACTTCGATAAATTATCAAAAATCACTGAGAAGCGCGTAGTCGAGAAATCAGGAATAGCCCAAGGTTTTTTCACTCGAAATCCGGACGCCCTTGTCCCCAGCAAATCCGGTCCTTCCTTCAACCTTGACATGAAGCGATTCTCCATTGACAAGGAGTTCGTGGAGGAATGGGAAAATTTTCCAGAAGACATGGAGAAAAATCCGAGAGAGACATTGAATATCCTTGGTCTTGCACTCCACCAGGTGCTGGTCAACTCGAAATTGAATGGGGCTGGTATAAATTCGGGTGATGACATAAATTTGCCTACGATCAGAGTAAATATTGTTAATTACAGGCCACTTGTTGCACTGAGAGACATCATGATTGACAGTTATGGAAAACTGATAGGAACGAGGGGATGTGTGATAAGAGTTGGTAGGCCAAAGTACATGGCCCAGTGGTTGCCCTTTTCCTGTGATAAATGCAGCAATTGGATGGTAATGAGACAGCCTGATGGCATATACAAACTCCCGAAGAAGTGCAAGACCTGTGGCACATGTAAATTCACACCTAGATTGGATTCACCACATGTCAAGAGTATTCCATTCCTCGTTATCAAATTGCAGGAGCATTTTGATGATAATCAGGACGACAAGGGTAAGATGCCGAGGGTTGTTGAGGTCGAGCTCGTATCTGATCTTGTGGAGAGCTGCATGCCTGGGGATGACATCACCGTCGTGGGAATTGTCAAGATAAGGGGAACTGATGATGGCAATCAGAATAAAAAAACCACTGCTGAGGCCAACGCTCTGTACATCGAGGCTGTATCTATCGTCAATAATAAAAACAAAGCTAGAAATAGGACTGCTCTTGGAGTGGATCTTGATCATCAGGATTACATTTTTATCAAGAATATTCATGACAGTCATGATGTATTTTCGTTGCTCGTCAGATCACTTTGTCCTGCCATTTATGGGAATGAAATCATCAAGGCTGGCCTTTTGCTCAGTTTATTTGGGGGTTGCGCTAAGCACGACTCCTTGAGGAATGATCTTCATGTGCTGCTGGTTGGGGATCCTGGGCTTGGGAAGTCTCAGTTACTTCAGGCGTGCTCGAGGATCTCTACAAAAGGTGTCTACGTGTGTGGTAACTCCAGCACAACATCAGGATTGACAGTGACACTCACAAAAGAAAATGGCACGAATGATTTTGCCCTGGAGCCCGGTGCCCTAGTCCTGGCGGACAAAGGTACGTGTTTCATCGACGAATTCGACAAAATGCCAACGCAACACCAAGCACTGCTGGAGGCAATGGAGCAGTCGAGTGTGTCAGTGGCAAAATCAGGAATAATCTGTTCTCTGCCAGCGAGAACTTCCATAGTGGCAGCTGCCAATCCAATCGGTGGCAAGTACAATAAATCAAAGAGCTTCACCGATAACCTGAACCTCAGCGAGCCCCTTCTCTCCAGATTCGACCTGATTTTCCTGCTACTGGACGTCCCCAGCGAGCAGATGGACACCCTGATGTGTGCTCACGTGATGAGTGCCCACCGAGGCAGCAAAATTGTCGCCCCAAGTCGCTCCTCATCGAGTCTGACCGAGTTCAATCCACCAGGTCATCAAACCCTCATCACCCTCAGGGAAAGGCTGACTCTCAGCAGCGACGACCTCATTCCCCAGTCGATCCTCAGAAAGTACGTCTCGTATGCAAGACTCTATGTCAAGCCCAGGCTGTCACCTGATGCTGCCAACAGACTCAAAGATTATTATCTCTCCCTTCGCCAGAATATCTCCAGTCATCTGCCAATTTTTCATCGACAGCTCGAGGCTCTCATCAGACTGACAGAGGCACGAGCCAAACTTGAGCTGCGAACTGAAGCCACTGATGCTGATGCACAGGAGGTAATCGAAATTTATAAATACACTTTGGCTTCTGTACCATCTGCTGGAGCTGCTGGTCCTGGAGTCAGTCATGATTCTGGAAAAATCACTGGGAAAAAAGTATCAGCTTTTATCTCTTTGCTCCAGCAGTTGGAGCTCGAGGGGGGGCAGGCTCTTCTGTCGAAGACGGATTTGATGGAAATTGCTAATCAGGGGGGAATTGTTATCAATGAATTCTCCAGGTTTATCAATAAACTCAATGACGAGGGGATATTGATCAAGAGGGGACACGATTTGTATAAATTTGTTAATTTGTGAATTATTCATTATTATAGAAACTATTCGGAATTATTGTTATATTTTATTACCCGTTTATATAGAATTTTTAAAAATTATATATATATATAATATGGGGTCAAGTCCATATAAAATATAATTGTCAAATATATAATAAAATATGGAATTGTCGAGAAATATTTTTTTCGTCATGGGAATACTCCGGGTAAATAGTAAAAACATCACATTAAATATTATTAACATCATTTTATTATAATTAATAGTTTGAAATTGATTATAAATTATGACGATGAATTTGAATCATAAGGACTAGGAAAAAATGGTGTATCGATTGTTCAATGATTATTTATCATTGATTATTTTTCACCTCAACGTCTCAATCACCGATTACAGTCGTAACATGAAAAATTCGCAAGTTATCGCGTGAAATTAAAATGACAAGAGAAACGTGCAGCTGTCAAATCTCTTCGGTAATTAGAAAAATGAGAAATAATGACAATAAAACTGACATTGTTGGCTTATCAAAGTTGCCAGCAACTTAGGTATGAGAAAATGATATTTATCCATCAATTTCTCGTCGCAATTCAACTTCTGGTGATAAATCGAGCGATAAATAATAAATTAAATGATTTATTGTAGCGCTAGATTTAATGATTTTTTTTTATTTATAGAATTCCATTGCCGCTGTCGAGTCCAAAATCACAATTCATTGATTAGTGGCAGTATAAATAATTCGTTGGGTTCGTTATCAATTTTTTGTCCCAATAAAATTTAATATATATAAATTTATATTGGCGATAGGGGATGCTGGGGTAAAATGGGCAGCCATTAAAATTGTTGCACTCTTAATTTTCAAAATATTTCAATGTTTCAACAAAAATGAATGAATAAATGAAGTTTTCAACAATTTGCCGATTGACAGACTGTCAAGTGGTATTCTCCAAAAATAAAAAAGAAATATAAATAATGCAAATAGATGGATAACAAGCCCGCACTCCCCTATTTTATAAACGATATATTAAATAATTTATTAATCAGTGGATATTCCTGGATTCGAAAATGGTAACAGAATTCACTCGTACAATCGCACTCTTTCATTATTATCTCAATCGTTTTACTAATTCCTTCTTGAATTCTCACACCTAATTGTTTATCAATTACGCAACGATTTATAACGGACAGTCCAGATCGCAACCTCGATATATCACATTGCAATTAACAATTACACAGCACAGCCAGCGACCACATCGATTTAATGAACAAAATTCATTTGTCTCACATCAATTCTATTCACTTTAAATCCTTTCCCCTCAATCTGTCAATTTATTAATCCCTCATTGCGCAATTTATCAAACTTCATGTAATTTATTTAGGAAGATCTACTTTTTCTTAATATTATTAATTTATCCCAACAGATTTCTCCCTCAATTTGGTCGTTAACGGCTACAATAAATTGCAGAAGCGAATATTTTTCAATGCGACATGACTCTTTAATGTTTATTTATTCTAATTATCCAGTGCTGGAGAGAGGGAAGAGGTCGATTGTTTAAATTTTTGTTTAAATAATTTGTCACGACTTTTTCACTCTCTCGCGCTCCAGCGACGTCTCACCATTCGTTTTTTTTTTTCCCTTTTTTTATATATTATTTATGCACGTCTCTCAATTGTTGTTGTAATTTGTGGGGGAGGGGAAATGAGTCTGATGTAATGAGTGCGAAAATTATCTCGACAATTCCCCGATTTTTAATTTTTATTTCTCCATGAAAATGTCTGAACCACAGATTTTTATTTCTCCATTCGTAAATTTTTTCTCATCGATTAATTATCAATTATAAATTAATGAGTAATTAATTTCTGAATTCTGAATAAAAATCTATTGATTCATCGTAATCTCGTCAGAATTCTCTGGAATTGTCCGGTAAATTTATTCATAATTTTTTCAATGCTCATGAAAGAAAGAGGAAATGAATAAAATAAAAACAAAAACATATTAACATAAAGAGATAATTTCACGTGAAAAAAATCCAAAAGCTCTCGAATTTTTTTTTTCCATTTCCATTATCTTACCGAATTATTGAAAATAATTCTAGCAAAAAAATGAACATTGGCGAAAATTCGAAAACCGAAAATAATTTTCCACATGAAAATTTCCCCATGAGAATTCTCCACTACCTAATGAAAAATAATAAAACAAATGAAAATGTTGCTAAAAAAAATTCATTATTTCGTGCTAAGTATTACATTGCGCGAAAAAAAAAAATGGATTCTCTCGGTATCCGAGACAACAGGAATAATACTATAAGTTAATTAATATAATCTATGCGATAGGTATTTTAATATATAATGTAATTGCGTTAGTCTAGTGTATGTACATTGATTGAGGGGAGGAAAGGGGGTGATTATGTACAGTAGATAATTGGATGGAAGAAATAAAATGGTTTCGATAGATTTTTGGAGTTATTATTGAGTGGAAAGGTCCCTTTCCTCGTCGCTTTCAACTCCTGCTCATTATTTTATCGTCAGTGATTATTAATTGCGGTTTATTTGAATTTTTTTATTGTGTCGATTGCCAACTGATTGGCCAGTGGCACACGAGTCAAACGGAACACTTTTTGGCATCTTTAGTCCTCCGATTAAGCTTTTTGGAAAGTTTAACGAGAACACTTGATTTTTTTAGTGGATTATTTACAGGCGTGGGATTTAATGTCTGATAATTCTGCTGTCGAGTCGGTCTGAGGGAGATTTTTCTCGGAAATCAGAAATCATTGCGGGCGATTTTATCGAAATATTTATCATTTCTTTTTTTTCGAAAGCCCGAAATATTTTTGAATTTCTTGGAATCTCGTACTCTAAAAAATTCACTCATTCATTCAGAATTCCATACATCAACAATTCACCGTTTTAAAAATCATCCAGTCACTTCCGGTTCTTATCACCTGTCTTATCACTGAGTAACTCGAATTCTCTGAAATAACAAAATCATTTCTCTTATTTTTTTTCAAATCCAATCATTCGATTTTCGATTGGCACAATTTTTTTCTCATTCCGTTGTAAAATTTCTCACTTTTTTTTTCTTTTTCCAATAAAAAAGGCACTGCTTTGAAAATCGTGGGCTCAAATTTAACCCCGGGGATGAATAAATGAGAAAATGATTTCAATGGCTCGTGATATTATTCATCTCGACTAATGACAGCACAAAAGCCGTGCATTGATGATTAATCAGTGGAATAAAAAAGCGAGTGGATGAAAAAACACATGAACAATCAATAGAATTACACGTGTGGGAAATTTCGACAAAAATTTGTATATTTTCCATTAATATTTATATATTTTTTTCAAACTTTGCCTTTTCTTTCATTCCGTAAAAACGACCGAATCAGCGGCAGTGTAAAATTGTTACTGTAAAAGCGTAAAAATTCGTCCCTGTGTTTTTTTTTTACAAGAAATACAAATACGTATAAAAGTTTTAAATAAAGGATCTCATCCATGTTTTTTTTTTGGAGTTTAAACTACTTTGAATTGAACGTTATCTTATCAAACATCTGAGGGAAGTGTTCAATAGGTGTATAGACCCGAAATATTTTTGGACCCACATGGATCACAGAAATAAAACATTGAGGAAATGCTGGGGTAATATGGAGTCATTAAAAATTGTTGCATTCTCAATTTTCCCCATATTTCAATGTTTAAACAAAGACAAATAAAAAAAATGAGTAAATAATGTAAATGAATGGGATTGAAATTCTAATTGTTAAACAATGATAAAAATAATTTTTTACCAAAGCCTGAATTTAACATTGAATTTGATAATAATTAAATGATTATCAATTTTTTCAAAAATTTAAATTACTATTGAATTTGAATAAAAACGTCTCCGCATTACCCCGCACTCTCCTATTCCCCGTACGCCCTTTTGTCTCTCGGCAAAAAATCGTAGTCCAATTGTTCGATTAATCCCGTCATTATTCCCCCCCCAACCATTCAGCATTCACTCTCTCATTCGCAATAAAAATTCGTTTGTCTGTTTTAAGTAAAAAAAAAATGGTGATAAATGTAACAAATTAATAAACAACGTTTACGATGCCGACAACACAGCCAAATCTTTGTTTAAAAAACAGTTTTAAATCCCGTTTACAGTTTATTGTTTAATCGTGAGAACATACAATCGTTTATTGTTCATTTGGGACGTACTCTACACATTATCTCCCCCATTTTCGCTAATTCAATCAGAAAAACATTGAACACTTGGTGGATCTTGCATTTTATAAACGAAAAGCAAAATATTTGAGGTGATCATTAACAAAAGAAAATATTTCGCTCAGCGAAATTCATCAATTTCTCGTTAACTTTGTAGTTTTTTTTATCTCTCCGGTCCAAGAGAGATATCAAGAGGGAGGGGTTAGAGGGGGGATGAATTTATTTTGGAATTGATTTTTTTGGGGAATACCTTGGAATTCCTGGGATTTCTGTAATTCCAAATCACTGGAAATCCGTGGGGAAAAATATTCCCCAAAATCCAAAATAAATATAGAAAAGAAAAAAAAATTAACTCCACCCCTCCCCCGACAAATTTCCGAAAAAAGTAAATCGATCGAAATCGATATAATCGGTAGAAACCCCGAGTTATCTCCACTCACCCCTAAAAAATGCATTACAACATCCGCCTATAATATAGGAATAATATAACTATCAATATATTATTTTAACAAACACTGGCATTTTCATAATTTGTTCTTGACGACTGGTACGAACTTTCCATGAGGAAAGGGTGACAAAAAACACATTGATATTAAAAACCTTTAAGGGACATTAGCCGTAATTGTTCGTCGATAAACATGAATGTATTTATATATTTATAAAATACATGCACATAATGTAATATAAAGGACAATAGCCCCAAATCGTTCAGTCCGTTAGGCATGGTACATGCTGTTAATAATTATTGTGTTTTCTATGTACATGGTAGAAAGTAAAATGATAATATCGCACTTTTTGTTTTTTCTTCTTCACCCACTCAACAACATCTGAGTAATTACAATATTCATTCCATAACTCTTTCCTCAACTCGACATTATCTATTACCGATTTTTTAATTATAAATACTGTCCCTTCCTACTTGGAACCATTTTTTTTTTGTCTTGTTTACACAACTCTTTCAATTAATTCGTCCCATAATGACGAAGATATATTAAATACAGTGTAATAGAAATAAATTTTTCAACAAGACTCTCCCCTCCCCTGATTTATTGGCAGCACAAAGTTTCATTTCCATCCACATCCACCGATAAAATCAATTATCATAGCCTAGATTATCCATAAATTTATCATTTACGAGAAAATAATGAGAGTAATGACGAAA